AAGTGATCTAATATTTAACAAAAGGAGCTTACTTATCAATAGCATGAAAACGATATGCAGCCAGGATACAACCTTGATTTGGTCGATTGGGCACAGCTCCCTTGTCTCTGCCTCTTTGATGGTGGAGTTCCCAATCAGCAAGAGATTCTTAATAAATGCCGTTGACAGAAGGGCTTTTATACTTAGGTGACCAGGAAGCAATATTCATAGGCCAAGCTGGAATCTGCTGGACCAATGAAGTCTTGAATGAGTTTGGTTTCATTGACTTCTAAGGAAAAAACTAATCCAGCCTACATAGCTGAAAAGTTAGTAAATATTGCTCCTAACCTAGAGATCAGTATTTTTATTTTTCTCCTGGTTCTGTTTTCTTTGGTCAGTATTAATTTATACAAGTTTTCCTGTGTTTCCCAGAATTCCTCACATTTGTCATTTCTTACAGCATAGCTACATTTCATTACATTAAAATACCGTAATTCATTCAGGAATTTCTTAATTGATGGGTACCCACTTTGTTTCCAGTTTTTGTTTGTCTGCTTTTTCTATTATAGAAGGTGCTACTATTAATATTTTGCAATATGTATGTTTTTTCTTTCTGTGATTAATCACCTTGAGATATATACCCAGTAGTGGTATTCTTTGATCAAAGGGTATGAACACTTTCTTTCCTTTTCTTTCATAAATCCAAAGTGTTTTCCAGAATAGTTGTATCACTACCTGTTTTTACAGATAGAAAACTGAGGGTCAGAAAAGTTAAGAAACACCTTGCCCAAGAGCACACATAAATAGCAGAATCGGGATTTGAACCTAAACTCTTTGATTGTACACCCAACCTTCTCTACTGCACTACACCAATGAGACTTCCTAGTTCATCTGAGCTAGATTCCTTATCTAGAACATGAAGGGATAGTTCTAATTACCTTCATTGTTGGTACTCCTCCTCAAATGAACATATGTGTATTTATCTGTTTACATTTTATATTCTCTAGGAAAATGTAGGCTTCTTGAGGGCAGGGATTGTTTTTCATTTTGTCCTTGTATCCTCGATATGTGGTACAATGCTTTGTACATATTAAGTACATTAATAAATGCCTTCTAAATTGGATTGGATTAGACTGTCTCCAAGGCACTTTGAAGGAGCAGATGCAGTAAAAGGAAATGATAAAGAAGAAAAAGAGTATAGGACACCTGCTTCCTATTATGTAAAAAATGCTTTTGCTATTTCAGGAAAATATATGCCTTAACACTGGATGTTTCTGGAAAATATTTTTATTTTTTTCTTTCCAAAAACAAATGAGTTAAAATGCAAACGTGGGAAATTGTTTCGCCACTAACTAAATTAAGAAGTTGTTCTCCCCTAGCCTTCATATTAATATCTTCCATGATTAAAATGATGATTCAAATGTGGGAAAACCTCCTGTGGTTTTAGTTCAAGAATTTTAAAATAACAATTTAACATGTAGATTTACTTTTAATTCATCAACAATTTTAATCAAATTTGATTTTCATTCTTTGAAGGCGATAATTTTGTCTCTATTTTGTAAGGGTAGATATTTTACTTATTTATTCATGTGTCTTTCAATATGCATAGAAACATTTCAAAAATATTATAAAATGATTTTCCCTCATTCCTTCCCTTTTTTATCTTTTCCACTATGAAATAGGAAATTTCCTGCTGAAAAAGATTTCTATAAACTGAATATGCTGTCTTTGTCAAGGCAGACAAAGGATTCAATTAAAGGAACAGTATGACTCAACACATGGTGAAATAGAGAAAAGGAAGAGTTAATTAGCACTTAGCTCCTCTACATTACCTACTTTTTGCCCCCTCCCTCCCTCGATCACCTGCCTATTTCCCTGGAGCTAGAAATAAAGAATGGTCACGTCCTCATTCCACGTACAATAAAAATAAAGAATGGTCATGTCCTCATTCCATGTACAATAAAAATAAAGAATGGTCATGTCCTCATTCCATGTACAATCATGGGGGAAGTTACTAGTAGTGAGCTAGGGCTTTAGCAACTGCCTATTCCTGTTTTCCCTATATTCAAAGGTTCTTAAACTCCAAATATGAAACACTGAATGAAAATTAATCTTAAAGGTAACACCATCCTCTAATTATTTTTAAGCTCAATTATATTCAGCAAATGTTCATGTATATAGCACTTGGGTGCTGTGGGGATGCAAAGAGGTGTAACATTTTGTTCCTGCCTCTAATGAGCTTAACAATGGGAAAACAACACATACACATACATGCACACACACACACACATGCACACATATGCACAAAGTTAAATAACAATATAAAATCCTTAAAATACAAATGGTTATGTCTTAGTATAAAAGTAAAGCCCTATAGTTGCATTCCCCAAATTTCCAGTTATTTTAAAACACCTCAGTCAGAACAGATTTACATTTTAACATCTGTTCTTCCTGTAGGCCAATTTAGTAAATGTAAGATTATGAAGGCTGGTTACTCAATCAGTGTTACATTGACCTCATGATAGAACACCAAAATAGTAATACTTTGCCATAAAATAAACATATTTAAATTGTTTCAGGGCAGAAGCCCGAGATAATTCAGTATGTGATTTTGGGTTTGTTTTTTTCATTTGCAAAAGGGGCGCAGAGTTTGCACTACCTACTTCACAAGGTTCTTGTTAAGAAAGCACTTTGTAAACAGTAATGTTCTCTAGAAATGCGATCTGATTTTACATAAGAGATGCTATATAAGGAATGGTACAGGTGATTAAATTGCACTTAATATATCTGTGAGGTACAGGATGGATTGGAGAATGTTGAGAGAAGAGACTGGAGAGGCAAAATGTTGTAATAGTTCCATTGTAAATATAAGGTGATAAAGGTATAAATTGAGCTGGAAGCAGTAACAAGAAGAGGAAGAATATGCAAGACTTTGAGATGGCAAAATTGGCAGGACTTTTTGACTATGGACAGAAGAAGTCAAAGATGATTTGAAAGTTTCAAGTTGAGGTGACTGGAAAAATGAAGGGATCGGTTGTCTTAATCTGTGTGCTTAGCACAGTGCCTGGCACACAGTAGGCACTTAATAAATTTTTATTAATTGATAATTGTTCTCTCAGAAATCATGCATAGCCTTGCAGCCTGCAAACTATGTGTTTTTTGCTCCATGTATACCTTTTTCAGGAAAATGTGGAGAGGAATTAGTAACTAAAGCAAAAATGAGAACTCTAGAAGAGCTAGATCCCAGATTTTGTTGTTGTTCTTTAGTGGATAAAGATGAGAATCTGAGAGGTTCTTTGTGCACTGACCTCATTTATGTCTAATCACTTCATGAAAACAATGGCAAATGAAGAGCCTTATTTTTGCATGATTTACTCCATCTTCCTCCTCAGCCACCCCACCCCCTTTTTACAGTGAAAATATCAAAGGAAAAGGAGAATTACAAAAGTAAACTGAAGATTAAATGATCTAATTTTTTTTTTTTTGGTGAGGCAATGGGGGTTAAGTGACTTGCCCAGGGTCCCAAGTGTCATGTGTCTGAGACTGGATTTGAACTCATGTCCTCCTGACTCTAAGACCAGAGCTCTATCCACTGCACTACCTAACTGCTCCTAAAATGATCTAAAATTATACAAACTCCCCAGCCTGGCATTTAAAACCCTCCACACACTGGCTCTTGCCTACCTTTCCAGGCTTATTTTATATTTCTTCCCTTCATACACTCTAGGTTCCAGTCAAATTAGCCTTCTAGCTCTTCTTAGTATAATCAGCCAGTCAACATTTATTAAGCACCTATATGTGCTAGGCACTGGGATAAGTGCACAATATATGTCTCACCTCTGGACCTAAACATAAATGGAATTTTATATAAAAATATACTTTCTCCTTACCTCTAAGTACAATCCCTAGCTTCCTTCAAAGCCACTTCTACAGAATTCCTGATGCTCCCAGTTATTAGTACTTTCTCTGAAAATTACTTTTTATTACTCTGTGTGTGTGTGTGTGTGTGTGTATACTGTGTGTGTTATATATATATATATATGTATGTTTTTATTTACTATTTATAGTGTACATATATATATATATATATACCCTTCCAATAGAAGGATAAGCTTCTGGAAGGCAGGGACCGTTTTCTTCTTTGTCTTTGTATTCCAGCACTTAGCATAGAATCTGGCATATATTATGCTCTTAATAAATGTTTGCTTGGCTATAAAATATTGCATACACTTTGACCCAGCAATACCCCTACTAGGTCTGTATCTCAAAGAGATGAAAGAAAAGGGAAAAGGACCTGTTTGTACAAAAATATTTGTAGCACTGTGGCCAAAGAATTGGAAATTGAGGGGAGGCCCATTGATTGGGGAACGGCTGAACAAGACGTGGTATATGATTGTGATGGAATATTATTGTGCTATAAAAAATAATGAGTAGGATGACTTCAGAAAACCTGGGAAGATTTATATGAATTGATGCAAAATGAATGAGCAGAACCAGAGGAACATTATACACAGTAACAGCAATATCATAAGGATAATCAACTGTGAAAGACTGAGCTACTCTGAACAATTCTCTGAGCCCAAGAAAGGACCCATGATGAAAAATGCTATCCACCTCTAGAGAGAGAACTGATGAATTCAAGCGCAGATTAAAGCATACTTTTTTTTTTAAACTTTCTCTTTCTTGGTTTCTTGGGTGTGTATTTTCTTTTGAAGCATGGAATATGTTTTGCATGACTTCACATGTATAATGGGCATCATATTGCTTGCTTTCTCAAGGGGTGAGTGAGGAAGGGGTAAGGAGGGAGGAAGAATTTGGAACTCAAAATTTTAAAAAATCAATGTTAATTTTTTCATATGTAATTGGGAAATATTTAATGAGATAAATAAAATACATTAAAAATAAATGTTTTCTGAATTCAATTTACACAAAAGTAGAATCAAAATTATGTTTATCCAACTGGTTCACTAGACCATGGTTGCTTATGCTCTTTTCTCATCATTTTTTTCTCTGTGCTTCAGTGCCCTGGCTGGTGCTCAGTGAAATTTTTCCTGGTGGAATTAGAGGAAGAGCAATGGCTTTAACTTCTAGCATGAACTGGGGCATCAATCTCCTTGTCTCACTGACATTTTTGACTGTAACTGGTAAGGAACTTTTGTCTTCTTGTGAACCGTATTTCGAATTTTTCATAAGCAAATGGTCCTTCCCCATCTCCCAGTCCCAAGTCCATGAAGCAGTTCTTCTGAATATTAACTATCTACATTTATAAAGAACTAAACCCTGGGCCTTAATGTCTAATCTTCAGTCCCTGTTAATGAATTTTAGAAGCACATTCCTTTATGGTCTTACAGAACCATAATTATGAGTCCTATAAGCAGAGTAAGCAGCATGGATATGGAAAGCATCCTCAACTGGGGAGTCTTTGATATGTTACCTGGTAGGGGAAAATAGAGCTCCCAGATTACCACAAGACTTTTCTGGAGAGATTACTCTCCTTTCTCCAAGAAATGGTAGCTTCCTGTTTTAATTAATTACTCTTGGCAACTACATGCTAATGTCAGTTGTTTCTTCCCACTTGGCATCTAAGAAACCTGATTACTGGGGAGAAAAGTGGAAAGGTAACATTTAAAGTAAATAAATCCATGCTGTTGGTAAGGGGGCTAAAAGAGGGCTTGATGCCAATCCTCCTAAATCTCTCAAAGTATAATGTTAGAGCAGGTAAGGATTTTAGGATCATCTAGTCTACTCCTTCATTTTATAGTAGAGGAGGCCTTTAGAACAGGGAAGTGACTTGGCCAAGGTCAGACAGGATGGTTCATTAAGCTTTTACTGAAATTGGAACTGATCTGGCCTAGGGTCAAATCTCATAGACTCATGGATGGTTAAATCTATAAAAGACCTTGTCCAATCGTCTAATTTTTCAAAGGAGAATAAAGGGGTCCTGAGTTAATGGTAGAGAAAGCCTTGGTCTCCTGACTCTAACTTCTGATTTCAAGGCTAGCACTCTTTCAGCGACAATGTTGAGATTTTGGTTCCCTCTGGGTCAACCATAGTTCTCTTGATTCAAAAACAAACAGATGATCAAGGAGGGAAAGCCCCAAGTCTTTCTAAGACATGGACTCTTAATCTGGCATCTACTCCCAATCTGTGGCTGGAAAAAAATTACTTTTTTATTTCAAGATAATTGGTTTCCTTTGAGGTCCTAAGTATTTTATGTTGTGTGCCTAAAAATATTCTGAGAAGGAGTCTACAGTGTTCAACAGATTGTCAAAATGGTTAACAATTCATATTCAAGGTGAGTCCTACCCTACATCTGGTCAACAGGACATCGTGTTTGCCCTGACCTGATTAAGGCTCTGTATTCAGAGGCCATTTCTAAAGTCAGAAAGTGGAATAGCAAGGGAACTGGTCATTCACTCTGACCAGCTCCTCTCATGTATACTCCCCTGACTGTCCATCCACACACCTGTCAGCTGTTTGTGGAATGGAAAAGAGAAAAAGAGAGGATAGAATGGAAAAAGGGAAAAGAAAAGAGAATAATGGAAAGAGCATGGAGGGAGACTAACGGATTCAAATTTCAGAAAAGATCTTGTTTATCAAGTGACCTTGACAGATTGGAAAGTGGAAAGTTAGCTGAAGCTAACAAGATACTTTTTACCAAGGATAAATGTGAAGTCTTGCACTTGGGTTCTAAATATCAAAGGTAGAATCAAGGAGGCCAGGCTTAACGATGGTTCATGTGACAAAAATCGAAGTCTAATAAATTGACTATAAACTCAATGAAAGCCACCAATCTGACACAGCAGCCAAAAAGCTAGTATGATATTGAGCTATATTAGTAGGAAGTACAAAATAAGGGTGATAGTAGTCCCACCGTACTGTACACTGGTTAGAACATATCTTCATTATAATGCTCAATTTGGTATACCTCATTTTAAGAAGGTTTAAAAGGGATATTGACAAACCAGAGTCCATCCAGAAGATCATAGTAAAGTGTCAAGTTTTGTTGTTCTTGAGTCATTTTCAGTCATGTCTAACTCTGTGATCCCATCTGAGACTTTCATGGAAAAGATACTAGAGTGGTTTGCCATTTCCTTCTCCAGCTCATTTTACAGATGAGGGAACTGAGGCAAAAAAGGTCAAGTGACTTGCATAAGTCACACAGCTAGTAAATGTCTGAGGCCAGATTTGAACTCAAGAAGATGAGTCTTCCTGATTCCAGGCTCGACACTTTATCCACTGTACCATCTAGCTGCATCCTAAAGAGTTCGGTAACCATGTCCTATTATAATCAATTGGAAGGATTGAGAATACTTATCCTGGAGGGTGGGGGTGGAGGTAGGGGTAGGGGAGAAACATCTGCAGGATTTGAGGTGAGAGGTGGGGAAGAACATAATAACTCTTAAAATATCTAATGGCCTGTTATGTGAAAAGGGATTAGATTTATTGTATATTTGTTTTCAGAGTATATCAATGAGCAGCAATTGCAAGGAGGTGGGTTTTAATTAAAAATAAGAGACCTTCATAAAAATTATATCTATAAATGAAATGGATTGTCTTAATGAGTACCCTATCACAATAAATATGTAGGCAGAGATTAGATATCGTAGAAGAGATTTCTGAATGACAGGAAGCTGGACTAGATGACCTTTATGGTCCTTTTCAACTCTAACATTCTAGGGTTTTATTATTATAGGGGGAAAATGTACAAGAGAAGAAGACAGGTGGGTGGGAATAGAAGATTAGAGAACCACACTGAGGAGATTTAAAAAGAGAGTAAAAAATAAAATTAATAAAATAATTGGAATGTAGTGTTACAAGACTCAAAGAATGACAGCAAGTTATACACTCACATTTTTAATTTGTGGGCCATACCCTGACTGGTTTTTGCAGTTTCATTCCCGTCAATGGGTTGCTTTGGGCATCCCCTTGTTGAAAGTCTTCAAGCAAAAACTTCAAGCAAAAATCATTGTCCACTGTGTTGTAGTTGGGGTTCTTCTTTGGGCATGGGTTGGCTTATGTGGCCCCCGAGATTCTTTTCCAACTTTGAAAAATTCTGTGGTCAGTAGATTTGGTTGGAAATGATTGGAATAAAAATCAGGCTGTGTCTTAAATTAATAGACTATCAAAGAAATGAACAATAACTATGAGAGCCCCAGGCCTTGCTAATATATTTTTATAACTTGATATCTTTTCATTATGAGCCATGTTCTCTTCCTGAACCTAGAAAAACAACTGTTATGAATACATGTGATAGCAGTTTTAAATGACACATTAACCACTATGAATTGATTTTTTTGGATATAGAAGTATGAGCCTTTTCAAAAAAAAAAAAGAAAGAAAATACTGTAAAAATGCATCATTAAAATGCAATAAAAAATACTGGCATTGAGTCTGAATGGCAGTAGCAACCAGGTTACTAATTCCTTTCCCAGGGAAAGTTGTTATAGTGTGTAGTTAATAAAAATGTAATTCATGATTCCTGTTTCCCTAGTTATCATTAGTATGATTCAAATCAGAATTGCATATTATTTATGAAGTAGCTAGTATAACACAAGAGTTAATCAAGTTTTTTGTGTGTTCATTGTAGAACTTAAACCTTTGGATAGTGACTAATCTTAGAAGTCACAATTCCTGTTTCTCTGGTTATCATTAGTATGATTAAAATTGGAATTGCATATAGTTATGAAGTGACTAGCACAACACAAGAACTAATCAACTTTTTTGTGTGTTCCTTGTAGAACTTATTGGTCTGCCATGGGTGTGCTTTATTTACACAATAATGAGTCTAGCAGCACTGGTGTTTGTTGTTTTGTTTATCCCAGAAACAAAGGGATGCTCTTTGGAACAAATATCAATGGAACTGGCAAAATCGTAAGTATTAATGATTGATGCTTTCTGTCTCCCAACATATGACTGGCACACAGTTAGTTTTGTGATACAATTGAATAATAGATCAGCAATTAATTTACAATAATCTCTTTGGATTGAGATAATCTAGAGCGTGATTGAGTTTACTGCCATCTATTTTGTCTTTCAAAGATTTGTAAAATCAGCACTACTCACTTAAGGAATGAGACTATTATACAGCCTTCTGTAGAGTGAACTTTCTAAGTTTTTAGGAGAACTTGGAGACATTCGAGCTCTCTTCTCTTAATTTCTTCATCTCCTATGAGGTTTTCTTCCTGTTTCTGGTGGGAATAACTCTACCATATATCATGCTTCTTTCCCAATGTTAGAACTACTGCAAGTATTTGGTACCTCCATTGCTAATCTATACCCAACCAAAATTTAGAAATCTTGGAGAAAACAAAACAAAACAAAATAATTTTAACAGAAATGCCTAGATTTCTTTTTTACATGTGCAAAAATATCCCAGCTAAGATTGGTTTAAGTTTAGGGCATCAGAATAAATAGAAGCTTTAGTAGACTGGTTTAAACAAATTTCAAATGTGAAAGTAGTATAACCTGACTTAGAAGTGGCCTGAGAAAAAGGGCTTTCTCCTTTTCATTAGAAAAATCCATAGGGCCATCTGGTAAATGGGAGGCTAAGTGACAAATGTAAGCAAAGCATAGAGCTTTGCACATGGTGGCTATGTCAATGCTTATGGAATGACTAAATAACCACCATCACTATAGGTCTTCAAGTCCAAGTGGAATGACCACTTGTTGGGAATATTGTCATGGGTTTTCATTCTTCAGGTGGATTTATACTAGATGACCTTTACAATCCTTTCCAGTGCTAAGATTGTAAAAATTAAATGGCTGAGTGAAAGGGTATTTAAAAATCTTCCTATTTCTCCAGAGACTTCGTTAGTTCTTTAAATATGAAAAAAAGTAAAAATATATATTGTCTTGAGCAAGTAAAAGGGAGAAAATGAACAGGTTTATGTTTTTTAAAGTTCCTTTTGTTTTAAAAGACAAAATGGTATCAATGCAAGTGTATAGGTAGCCATTGTTATAGACTGCAATTATAGTGACACTTCTGAAAGGAGTCTCTACTTCCTTGGCTTCCACTGACACTGTACCCTCCCATAATTACAGAATTTTTAGAGTCAGATGGGACTTCAATGGCTCTTTTTTCAACTGATAGTCGAAAGGAATCTTTACCATAATGTACCCAAGTGGGTATTGAGCCTCTCTGCTTGATAACCTATAATGAGAGGGTCTCAGTTTTTCCAAGGGCCACCTGTGAACCTAGCCTTTGGATTTTGGCCAAGTCAATCATGCCCTGCTCAGTTCAAGCCTTTTCTCTTCCATGAAGCCTTCCCTAAGTAACGACAGCCCATAAGTTTTCCTTTCTCAAAGAGGCATAGTGGATAGAGCACTAGCCTTGAAGTCAGTAAGACTTAGGTTTAAGTCCCAGCTTTAAACATGGTGGCTCTGTGACCCTGGGCAAGTCGCTTAACCCCTCATTGCTCTAGGTAACTCTCTAAGATGATAAATTGCAGGGAAGATGCTGACCCACATTGATAGAGAGTTTCTTCAGCTAGAGGTGCCTTATACTAACAAAATCATAGATCTAATCCCTGTGCCTATATTTCTACAAGAACTTACATTCTGTACTTTTCAAACTAATAGTCATATACTGGCTTGTATTGTTCTAATTAGTTTCATTGCCTGCTGTAACTAGATTAGAAATCCTGTAGGTCAAGGGATGTCTTCTACTTGTTTGTCCAAGAATGCTCAGGTTAGTGCTGGGAACACAAGGAAGAATAATCAAACACACTAGTTTCAATAGTCTAGTCTGAAAGTCTGCAAAAGGGTTCACTGATTAACCAAGCATATGAAAATAGACTTATTATGGTATACAATAACAGATCTCTTTTATTATGCTAATGTCAAGGGACATGCTAGCATCCTTTTGAAGATTGGGGCAACAGATGGGGCAGTAGATAGAGCACTAGGCCTGAAATCAGGAGGATTTGAGTTTAAATCCAGTCTCAGACACTTATTATGTGACTCTGGGCAAGTCACTTAACACTGTTTGCTTCAGTTCTTCATCTATAAAATGAACTGGAGAAAGAAATATGACACAGTGGAGAGAGTGCCAGGCCTGGAGTCAGGAAGACATCCTCCTAAGTTCAAATCTGGCCTCAGACACTTACTAGCTGAGTGATCCTGGGCAAGTCACTTAACCCTGTTTGCCTCAGTTTCCTCACCTGCAAAATGAGCTAGAGAAGGAAATGGTAAACCACTCCAGTATCTTTGGCAAGAAAACCCCAAATGAGGTCATGAAGAGTCAGACAAGACTATTTTACTAAAACAACAAGGTAGAAATTAACAGTGTTAACCTAATGCAGGTTTTTGCTAAGTATAGGTATGATTTAGGTTTGCCCATGGTATAAACAAATAAAGATGTATGATAACAAGACATACTGGGTTCTGCTACAATTAATGTAAACAACAAAAGTATTTCTAAGAGTACTAACTCAGTTAAGATTCAAAAGGTGAATGAGGCCTCAAAATACTTGATATAGTAGTCATTCACACCCATGAGTGTTTTAGTGCCTTTGAGCTACCTACCAGCACCTTTGGGCTACAATAATACATATAGAAGTTCTATAGTCAGAAAAGCTTCTCCAAATGTGATTCGATAATAAGCAAAAGAGGAGAAGAGATAATGGACACAGAACTCTGGGAACCAATTGACAAAGAGCCTCCATTCCCATTACTTCCATATTTCAAAAAACTAAAAAAACTCAAAAAGGAAATCTGGTTGAGAAAGTGACTATGAAATCTGCAGGTGTCTTTGTGATATGGCGCAGTCAAGATCTGATTTCTAGAGCAGGGGAAAAGGGGAAAAAGAAAACCTAAGTACAACCCTCCCACCTAGTGGACAAACAGAATAAAACAGTCCTTGGGAAGTCAATTCACAACTCATACTAACTTGGGGGGTGGGTAGGGCAAGCCTGTCTGAATTAGAGAAACTCTGAATTATGAACTACTTTAAAGGGACAGAAATTTATTTGCTTTTAAGCTTTCTCTTCCCAATCCATCCAAGAAAATAAAAAATTCAAATTAAAGGAAATGGTAACAAGAAAGACCAAGATCAAAAGCAACATGACACTTTAAATGGAACTGTCTTTATATTAGTATTTATACTTAAAAAATTGTGAGGGAGAATGAAGATAGAGGAAAGAATTAGTAGAGAAAAAACAAAAGGCAAAGAGGTGAGAAACATTCATATTTTAAACTTAAAATGTAAAGGGTTACATATTTATGACATATGTAAAGCAATCTGATAGGTTCATCTGGAAAGTTTTGTTTCCTCATACTAATTTAAGATGGCAAGTAGATAGCAAGGCAGTGGTGTCTCTTGCTACAAAAGAGGATGGAGGGAAGAAACGTGGCTCCTTAATAGATGTGTAGGGAATGACATTTCAATTAATATCAGTATACAAATGCCATTTCCAATTACTCAGAAATTTCATTGCCATTCAGTTTCACACTCATGTGGGTGGATTCTTCTTATTTCTTGTGAGAACTGGCTCATCTAAGTAACGTCTCCCATTTGAGCTATTGGCTTGTTTTCAAGGACTCCCTGGAAGTTTCTTAGTACGTGCTGCAGCCTAAACTGGTAATAGACTGTCTCAATTTACTCCAGTGGAATTTTTAGCAAAAAAGTATTTTGCCCAGTTAGTGGACACAAACTAGTAGGCCAATAGGACTTAACCACTTGCCCAATGCTACCATTCTGTTACTACCAATAGGAGTAATGCTAGCAGACTTGGGTCAATTAGTAATTGTAATTTTAGTTGAAAGCAATTCATTTTACAGCTAAATTTAAGAGCTTCCTCATCCATATATTTCTGACCTTATGGCCAACTACTAAAAAACTTGCACACCTCTCTCTGCACTGGTAAGAAAACACAAATTTCTGCCTGCTCACATCAGCCCAGAAAACAAGTTCTAGATAAATTGCTTAAAGGAGAACATCAGATTTCAAAAATATTTGATTTCCTTTTTGACCATGGAATAAGATAATTCATATGGCTAATCTATATGCCATTTACTTGAAATAAGTATTTTCATAAATAATGGACTGGAAGACTATACAAGTATGACTGCCATAGTACCACACATCCTTTTTCATTACTCATGCCATTTCCCTCTTTTCTGTCTGCTTTTCCCATCATCTTTAATTTCTGTATGACATTTTGTTCTCGCTTGCAAATACTGACATTTTGTTGGTTAATCAACAGGTAAAATTCATTTAAATGGAGAAACACATGATTTTTTTCTAAAGCTGTGGGAGCATGTAAAAAAATATTTTACTACAGTAGAATGGCAAGGTTAGCCTAGATCCCAATGGGTCGGGTCCCCTGTAGTTCTGAAAAGCTCTACCATTATCCGAGGGTGGTATGTTTCTCTTCTGCCTTCCCATCTCCCCAATTTTCTAACAATTTCTTTGGTTACATTTTTAAATGTCTTTGAAAATCCTGTTCTAAATGACTTCATGTAACACAGTTCCATTGAACATCACTTGTCTCTGTGTAGAATATTATCCCTCCAAACCCCAAACATAATTCTCTATAAAACTGCACTCTGTTTAACATTGTTCTTTGTAGTGTCCTCTCCTTAACCATGTAACATATCCTCTTAAGCACTTCAGGTATATTGGCAGTTTTACAGTTAAGACATTTAGAAATGTTGTTAATGATTACATTTTTTTGCTGCAGAATAAGGATCCAATAGCCTGGAACCCTAACTTTACATTTACTCAAAATAGTCTTGGTATAGGAATTACAATGAGATATTCTAAGGACAAAGTCAAAGTGAATGCAGTGTCTAAGATACGTTCATATCCTTTATTACTTAACAGTTTTCTCTCACATTTGGGGTTAAGGCCTTACATCACTATTCTTGCAAAATTAGATAAATTTATATAACATTCATAGTGCCTGGTATTCAATAAAATAAGGGAAGAAAATTCTACAATATTAATTTGTATTTGTAAATATGTATTTGTAACATCAAAAAAAAAAGAAAACAAACTTGTCTTTTGGGCAGTGAATTCAAAATAAGATGGTTCACTATCTTAGTTATTTCAGTTATGGAACTTACTCTTTCCTTTAAACCAAGAATTTTATTTTATATTCCTGAGAACTGTGATTTCATCAATGTATGGTACTCCCAGTGAGGGAGCTCCCTCTAAGTAATGCAAATCAGAAATGGTTTTGCAAATTATAATCTTAGAAAGTTGCTCAGGCACTGGGCCAGGATTACATGGTATAAGGAGAAAGAAGGAAAAAAGAAAGAAAAAAAAGGAATGAAAAGGAAAGAATGAAGGAAGAAGAAAGGAGGGAGGGAGGAAAGAAAGGAAGGAAAGGAAGAAGGGAGGGAAAGAAAAGAGAAAGAATAAATGAAGGAAAAAGGAGAAAGGAGGGCAAAAGGAAAGAAATGAAAGGAAAGTAAAAGAAAAGAAGGAAAGAAGAAAAAGGAGAGGGAGGGAGGAAGAAAAACAGAAGAAAAAACTGTTTCACGGAAGTTGATTGTTGGTAATATTTTACCTACATACATTGATACAAATGGTAAACATCTCAATGACTGGGGATGGGGGAAGCAGTTGTAATGTCTCATTTCTCCCCCACCGTTAGCAATTAACTTTTTGTGTATTACAATGAAAATGAGAAAGAGTAGGATTTGTGGATGATTAATTTTTTCAGGACTCCATGTCAAGCTTATTGTACTTGGAATTCAAATTTGCAGGTAAAACTGTTCTATAATGACATCCTTGCAATTCTTTTGATAACCAAATATGCATTGGACAGCACCCAACAAAAACTTGTGTTCTAATATATCATACAGAAAGGCTTCAATGTCATAACATGACCTCAGTGTACCTCTAGAATTTTACAAACCCCAGGGTGTCTTTTAAAATGTCTAATATTTTTAAAAACAGCACTGTATAAAGCAAGAATGATGTTTTCATTAATAACTCTTTCTCTTTCAGAAACTATGTGAAACACAACATTTATCTTATGAGTCATCAGAGAAAGAAGTTAGTGCCAATGGAGCTTCAAACGACAAAACACCAAGAGCAGTTCTTAGAGTGCAAAAGGTTGTACAGTAAAGAGCAATCGAAGCACCTCTTTCAGGAGAACTGATGCCATGCAGACAACAATGATACTGATTTGGTGTAAGGACACTTAGTAGTGTCTTTGTAATAACAAACATTTGGCTTTTTTTTTTTAGCTTCAGTATCTAAAGCAAAAGTTTTAAGGGACTTCCTAATCTGGTCACAAGTGGCTTAAAAATCAGTTCTTAATCTTAAAGTCTAAATAAGGAAAGAGGAAGCAGACATCACCAAACTACCTGCCATTCCCCAAGAACCGGTTGAGAACTGGCCTGAGAAAGTGTGGTTGGGTTATTGCTTTTCACTGTCCCAACTGAGCATTTTAAGAAAGAACAGGCCTTGTGCAATCAATCATGTGACCACTCCACATATATATATATATATATATATATATATATATATATATCACACATATACATATATATATACATATGTGTGTGTGTATATATATATATATATATGTATGTATGTGTGTGTGTGTGTATATAAAAGGACAGGTTTATTTTCAGAGATAAGAGAGACAGATTTCTAAAAATGACTTTGCCACTACAGGTACCTGGCTTGCAGAGTAGACCTTTGTTTTTTTTCTTTTTTGTAAGAGAAGGCAATAAATTCTGCGGGTGCAGTTCATCTTTGTTCTTTGTTAGTCTAGAATGGGTTAGAATGCTCTCTGATTTCTGTTTTTGATTGGTTGTACTTGCTGACCTGTATCTAATTAAGAATAGCAAAGGTTTCTATAGCTGTAATTAAAATTCATGTAGTAATTTAAAAACTTTGATAATTATCCTTCAAGTGGGCTTTCTGAACTTACCTGAATATTCCATATCCCAATGCCCATGTAAATAAGGAATCAGTTTTATAATAGATGACAATTAATTTTTAAACATTTTTCCTTGTTACCAAAGTGAGATGCCAAGAGAGTTTGGAAATATGGGACCATATTTAGTTGTAACCCTTAGTGAAAACTTATGAAAAGATTCATGAATTCAGAAGTTAGCCAGATAATTAATTAGTTATTTTTATTTTGTTGCCTTAAATAAAGTAAGCTTTCAAAACTTTCTCCTATCAAGGCTTTCAAAGCTGAAGTGCCTAGCGTCTGCAACTTCTTCACAATTCTCAGGAATTTCCTACCTCAGGCTACAACCAATAGGCCATTATAATAATTAAACTTCAGGCTGCTGCAGATTGTGTAAAGTTACGGATGTCCAAAGATTGGGTCATCTAACACATCTATTTCATTTGTACTTAACCCCATTAAAAGTGAACAAGGCATATATGTTTCTATCTAAGTGAGTAATTCATCTAATCCAGGATCTTTCTGTGCTGTATTTCCGTGTAGTTTCTCCAATTTAAAGACTTGGGCAAGGGCATTTACATGGAAAATATGGTAGAGTTTGAGAGAAGCAAAAAGCCACCACAGTAATTAAAAGATAGACTATGTATATCTGAACTTTCAATCATTAATCAATCCAACTTGACAAAAAATTCAAGCTACAAGTTTGTTTTTTTTTTTAAAGAGGGTCCAAAAACCAGTGACCCTATTAAAAAAAAAAAGACCTTTATTTTGGAATTTGATTTGATAATTAACCTCTAAATCTCTCATATGCCTTTATATTCAAATTGGGGGAGATACAAATCTAGGATAGCAGTAAGAGTTCAAATACCAGAGACATGCTTTAAATAAATTAAAAAAAAAATACAATGTAAGAAATAATTCTACCGAGAGAAAGGCTAGTAGGTCCACTACTGAGATTTCCCTGGAAGATAAGGGAAATATGGATAGCAAGAGATATTATAGATGGGAAGTAAATGTCAGGTTCAGTTTTTGTTTTTTAAATAAGCTTCTGATGCTTCTCTCAAATACCTTAGTTGAAGTTCAAATAGTCCACTCCATTATACCTCAGTATGAGCACTCATGATCAACAGATGCTTGTAAACCTTGTTAGTTATTGCTAGTGATACTAGTATCAAAACTCTAATAATTGTATTTTCCAAATAAATGTTTACTCAATCTCACATCAGAACTCTTTGATTTTCCAAAAATAGGGAGAGTTGTAGATGAGGATATATTTTTATTACTCTTCTCCTAGTATAACTCTATATGTGTGTGTGACAGATTTTTTTTTTTTAGGCAATTGGGGTTAAGTGACTTGCCCAGGGTCCCACAGCTAGTAAGTGTCAAGTGTTTGGTCTAAGGCCGGATTTGAACTCAGGTTCTCCTGACTTCAGAGCTGGTGCTTTATCTACTGTGCCACCTACCTGCCCTGTAACAGATGTTTTATAGCCATTTATCTCTTACCATACATCCATTTATTGCTCTTACCCTATTGGGTTGTAATCTAACACTATTTGCTGATACTGATTCAGCTACATATAAACAATATCTTTCCTTTCAGCACTGCCTCCCCTCCCCATTTAAAACCAAATACCACATTTGAGAAAGTACTAATCAAATTAGTTTAACCATCACTGAAAATCTTAGGGAAAAACTGAGTCTACTCCTTTGGTTTAGTCATTTTTTTCCTTTTCCTCGTTTTTAATTAGTTTTTAAAAAATATCATTGTTCCATATGCACTTCTTTCCTTATTTCTCCCTTGTTTATTAACAGCTTAAGTTTGGAAGCTCATTAAAACCAAGTATATATGCTCAAACTAATTAACAATATAGAATCTGTTTGTTCATCCATTTTGATTCTTTATATTAGATGAGCTATTGAACTTTAAAATGAATTAAATATAGAAGAAAAACTCTTAATGAGAACATTAAAATAACCTACAAATTCAGAATCATTTTCAAAGTCAGGCTTATTACCCAAGAGAAACCTCCACAAGAAAGAATTTTATTTTGAAGTCAGTCTTTTCACTTCTTATAGGGCAATCAGGATGGAGAATGATAAAGAGGAAAAAAGAGGGCACAAAGAACATATAACATTTGTACAAAATTGTACAATTTATCCTAATTTAGCATTCACTAATATACAGGAAAAGTTACTTAATGGAGCTCACATCTTTAATAATTTATTCTAATGTTTCATAACATTTTAATACACTCATATTTTGGTGTAGCATTATGTTCCCTATTGTTTCCCATGATTTGTGGAAACCCAGAGTTTTATTTTTCAGGATAAAAACACTGTTAGCCATGTTAAATTCAAGTCATAGGGCATTCCTGCAGCATAATTATCATTCCAATGTGCAGGAATTAGCCAAAGAGGACAACGGATCACAAAGTGATTTAATATCATTTTTCACTTACTGAACTAAATAATCCCTTATGCTCCATTAAATAAGACAAAAATCAGAGAGAAAGGACATGTCTCACAAAATGACCAAGGTGAGCTTCTAAGTATATAATGGTATAGGCATGAAACAGCCTGGGGGCACTTCTTGTCATGACCATACAAACTTCATCAAACTGCCAAGACTGGCAGGAGCCTGTAGTGAAGGCTTAAATTGAGAATCTCCATCACTTTCCTTCAGCTGTAACTGAAGGCTTTTCAGAGTAACAATGAGAAGCAACCCAAAAGAGCTGCTTTTTCATATCCAATCTGTGGGTAAGAAGAGTTTCTTTATTAAACTAATCTTCTTTTAACTCTCAAAAGATATTTAACACTCTTATCATATTAAGTTAGCAATGTAAGACAATATGTTTAATCTATAAAGTTCTACTCTTATTCCCTATAGTTTATATACATTTTTTTAAAATTTCTAATTTGCAAGAAAAACTGACATTTGGTAACACAGCATTAAGAACATACTGTACACATGTGGCATATATACAAAATACACTTCAAATGGAAGCCAAAAAACACTTCAGCAAAAGACTAAGTTTGCATAGTTTAAAAAAATGAATTCTGAGTAATACAATTTCAGTTAAAATAGAAAATGGGGAAGAAAAAAATAATAGAGTAGGTATGAGGAGAGATCTTTTCCAAACTTTTATTTGTGCACACATTCATCAATTGAAAAAAGATAACTTTTACAGCTTCTTTGGTGCCCATGTTCAGCATACAAAAATGTAAAAGACTATTCACAAATAAAACACATTAGCTCAAAATGAAAAACAACAACAACAAAAAAAAAACCCAACCAAAATATGTCTTAAAAGTAGTGCACACCGTGACAGCTCTGCTTATGACACGAGAATTACTGCAAAAATAAATAGAACGTCCTTTTGTAAAAGCAGCAATTTCACGTCTTGTAAACTTTTTACATTACAGCACTGTTCAAAATAAAATCCAAAGGGGCTGGAGCTTACACTGTGGCCATGAACAAATAAAAGAGTCTATTTCCTCAGTTACTGTTGGTCCAGTTTTCCTTTTGCCTTGAGTCCAATGTGCAGCAGTTTTAAAAGGTGCTCAGTTAGGGAACCTAATCAATTGGGTGGTGAATTATAAAATTTCTTTTCTGCTTTCAAACACATATGGGTAAATTTGTTCCACAGCAGTAGCAACAGCCTTTACATTTGGCCCTAAAACATAAGAAGAAAATGCCATGAAAAGTCAACCTACTAAATGTAAATTACAGTATTTCAAAATGTAAATTAAGATGAATATTTTTTCCTGGTCAGCACCTACAAAATGATACACTTGGGTAGATGATAAATAAGAGAATTAAGCTAAAACATATCAAGAATTTTACTGATCTTTAGTTTTAGACCCCTAGTCATCTTACTATTAATGAGAAAGGTTCATGCAGGGTAATAAATCTTGGGAACTACAAAAAGAATTCCACTATTCTTTTGGTCAGTATAATCTGACATATAAAAAAACAAATTATTACTTTTACAAGTGTGATAGGACCAGGATCTACCAGGGTTTCCCCCTTGATACTTTTTAGGTTTGTTTGCCTAAAAGATGACAAAACTGTCCCCAGGACTTCATTGGTCCAGGGGCTAGGGCTCAAGCCATGCATCACTTGATAGCTTCCTGGTAGCATGTGACTGCATTGATGGAGCTTTTTGGTCACTTAAGGGAATTATAAAAGTTTAACCACATGGAGTTAGGGCCCTTCAGACTTGACAGATTTCCCAAGACTGGTCACCACTTGCTATCCTATTGACCAGAGGTATTTCCATTTGGAAGTCAGCTACGTGCTGGACCATTCTTGTTCAGCATCCTTTCTATGTGACTGCTAAGCAAATCCTTCTTTGTTTGATGACCTATAAGTGCCTCAGAAGTTCCTTTCACAACTGATAACCACATGTGTGACAACAGATACATGCATATACACATAGACCTGACAATTTATAGCTCCTCTGGGCACAAATGTTATTTTGACATCTATCTGATAAACTGGCCTATTTACAAGTTGGTAGGTGAACCCTGCCCAAACACAGAGAAAAGAGATTTGGGGTATAAATAACGCATCCACTGAGTGTGAAGGTATACATATACGCCACACCTATAGTAACATCACTTCTGCAATAAAGGGAGGGAAGCCCATTTTCTCATCTCTTCTCTGGGGTCAATGTTGGTTATTATAACGACAAAGCATTGTGTAGTTCTTCCTCTTTGCACTTTGTTGTAGTCAAGTACACATATTGTTTTCTTGGTTCTATTTCACATTCTGCATTAGTTCATTGTCTTTCTATGCCTATAAGAATTCTACCATAAAATTAGTTTTAAAAATACTCTGAATTGAGTAAAAACTAGTTTAAAAAATCCACTTGTTTGTTTTTGGACTGGAAGTTTTTTAAAATTAATTTAATTTTTTTCACCAATTGTCAATTAACTCAATAAAAGTGGATTTTTAGAAGTACCTTTTTAAATCTCTGACTGGTTTTTCTCTGTACTTATGCAAACTGTCTCTGGCAGTTTTCAGTTGGTTGTTTCAGCACACATACATTTTATACTTATATAACCTATAGCTACATATTATGTGAAATATACTCAAAACTAATAATAGTTCACATACAGTACTTTGCACTTATAATTCATTTTCTTCATAATAATCCAATGTTGTAGGGCAATTCAAATATTATAAATCCCCTTTTCATATATCAGGAAATTGAGGTGCAGAGAGATTAAGTGACTTGCCTGGGGTATTAAGGGCAAAAAGTGATGCAGTTACAAGTCAAACTTACATCTTTTCTGACAAAAGAGGAAAAACTAAACTTGATCTAAAAAGAAAGCACAACATTTAAGTCTATTGTCTACCTCAAGATGAAAGTGTAAAGTAAAAGAAAATACTGACTGGAAGCCTATTTAGAAGCCATATACTTGGTGACACTGTGGGGGAAATACTGTCAGGTTGAAGCCCCAGAAGGAAGGATGGCCAGAAGAGGGGAGAAGTCAAACTCATTCCCGAGGAGGGATCCAGGCTATAAATTCAGCAAGTTCTTGGAGGAGATCATACCTTAAATCCTAATCAGCCATTACTAGTCACCTTTCTTAACAATAATAAGTAGGAATAAGATATAGGAGATGCACCTATAGGTCAGTCACATAAAAGAGGAAAAACTAATGGAGGAAGAAATACTGAAGGCAAGCTTGTCCATTAACATTCTGCTTATTATTGAGCCTGGCTTCCATGAATGGGCCTCCCTCCACAACCTTGACAAGTATGATACCTAAAATCATTTTTAAAATCATAGGCTGTTTGCCTATAATTGCTTAGCTAAAGTTTATAAGAACTGATATAACAAGTTATTACAAGAAATTCACCAATTACAACTGAATTGTTTCCTCAAGTAACTTCTACCATTGACTTCACAAAATTTAAGGCTCCTTTATATGCTGTGAGTACCAAACTCATTCTGACAATTCAAAGAATTAAATATAAAATCACCACCCTGGGTACTAACTAAAAGTCTGACATATTTTGGTTACTTTATGTTAATATGCAAATCTCTTATCACATTTAGTCATTTGTCACATAATTTAGACAGAAACTATAAAGTACCTGTTACTGTGATACTTCCTGTTGAAAAAATCTGTAATGTAGCTCGTAGAGCTTTGATGCGATAACACACTGCAGGATGAAGTTCGGGTTCATAACTGTCAAAAGGAGATACTCTAATTAATATAACACATAAATTTAAAGCTTTCCAAGTGATTTCAAATGTAAAAATCTGGTTTCATTCTTCTAAGACCTACCTGGCATGAGGCCTATTGTTCTTTGTGAATTCTGGCAATCGGATTTCAAAGGGCATGTTACACACTGCCAAAACATTAACGACTTTAAAATCTGTAAATATTACCTTTAGGAAGAGAAAAACAGAATCAAGTAAACTATTCTGAAAAAGAAGAACATCTGGTTATCCTAGGGCATTTTTTAAAGAATCTCTGGAATATCAGCGGTTTTTTACTTGGCTTGTCAAGCACATGAAAGTTAACAGTGAGGACTTAGTAAAGCTGGAGATAGAGGATCTGGACTCAAGTCCTGCTCTTCTGATGACCAGCTAGCTGTTCTATCTGGATTAAGTCACTTATCTGCTTTGAGGTCAATCCACATAACACAGTCATGCAACTTAGGAAAATATGGGACTAGGATAAAAACTATTAGTAGGGCACATAAATGAAATCACAGATGGGACATTCTTGCAAGTTATCCTGACAACTTGGGCCAAACAAGGAAGTGATCCTCTAAGCTAAATAGCAGGAATCATATATATTACTAACAAAGCCCAACAGCAACAGATAGAAAGAGAAATTCCATTTAAAGTTACTGTAGACATTATAAAATATTTGGGAGACCACCTGCCAAAACAAGAACTATATGAACACAATTACAAAACACTTTTAACACAAGTAAAGTCAGATCTAAATATCAGTTGCTCATGAGCAGGCTGAGCTAATATAATAAAAATGACAATTCTACCCAAATTAAATTACTTATTCAGTGCCATACCAATCACATGCCATACCAATCACACTACCAAATAATTATTTTATAGAGCTAGAAAAAATAATAACAAAATCCATCTGGACAACAAAAGGTCCAGAATGTCAAGGGAATTAATGAAAAGAAATGCAAGAGAAGATAGCCGAGTGGTACCAGATCTTAAACTGTAAAGCAGCAATCATCAAAACTACTTGGTACTGGCCAAGAAATAGAGTGGTAGATCAGTGGAATAGGTGGCATGCAAGACAACAATAATCAAAGACTATAGTAATTTACTGTTTGATAAATCCAAAGACTCCAGCTTCTGAGATAAGAACTCACTATTTAACAAAAACTTCTGGGAAAACTGGAAAACAGTATGGCAGAAACTAGGCACAGACCAACATCTTACACTCTATATCAAGACAAAGTTGAAATGGGTACATGATTTAGATGTAAAGGCTGATACTATAAGCAAACTAGGAGAGTAAGGAATAGTTTACCTGTGAGATCTATGGAGAAGGGAAGAATTTATGACCAAACAAGAGATAGAGAACATTATGAAACACAAAATGGATGATTCTGATTACAATGAATTGAAAAGTTTTTGCTTTTTGCTGAGACACTTACTGCATTCTAATTCTAGCTGCTATGGCACCTGTAAGTTTATTTATTGGTATTAAGTGAATGCTACTAAGATTAGGGCTAACTTTTCCCATTGGAAAAAAAAATCAATACTTATTTTAGAATGAAAAGAAATCCATAAAATCTCAGTATTTTAATTCAGGAAGATATTTCTTATAACACAAGAAGGAGTCAAGGAAAGAAAGCAAGGGCTGGTTCACCATTCTTCGGAAAGGTCAACTTCCTGGTTCCATTGTTATTCAGTAATAGAAGCTAAAGAAAAAGAGGCAAGTGACAGAATAAATTTCTACTCTAGAGAAAGCATTAGCTGATGGTTCTCACTCATCAAGATAAAAATGGGACTAGAAAAGGCATAACAAAGGATACCTACTGTTCAACCATAGTGAATCCATCTTCTCCTCTAGGCTAGATTTATGAAATACTGAATGAATTTTTTTAAGTACTAGAGAAGAACATGGTAAGAAGCAAAAAAGCACAGCCAATTATTGATTATTTAACCACCATACTGAGGAACAATTCAATATACTACCATATTCTGAAGGGAAAGCACAGAAAACCACATTCAAATTAGGAATTTTTCTTAGGATTATTTACTTCAATTACATTCTATGGTCTAGCCAAGCTGGCCTTCTTGCTATTCAATCAATCAACAAGTATTTATTAAATGCCTATTAGGTGCCTTGCACCTTGCTAGGTGCTGAGGGCACATGAATGAAGAATGAGGCGATCTCCATTCCCAGTGAAACCTTCCTTAGCCCTCTACGTTGCACCCCCACTTACCTTAGCCTAGCTGCTAGTGTTATTCCACTTTCCCTGCAAATGATTTTGCATTCATTTTGCATCTATTTTGTATTTACTTCTATATGCTACTTGAGGGAAGCTGCTGTTTCATTTTTTTCTTTGCATTCCCAGCACTTAGGACAGTACCTGGAACAAGGCTTGTTGACTAACTGATCTTGAGTTCAAAATGCACATCTAAAATACTTTCAGTTTATATATTTTTATGCACTTTACCTGAAAACCAAGTTTCTGTAGACTTCGGGCTAATCGCCTGGCACCAAATTTAGCTTCTTCTTCACTATGGTATAAGAAGAGAAAAATTGAAAAAATGAGATACATAAGAACTAAATTGTAAACAAAGAAGCTTCTATTGACTTATATGACAATGTTTTATAATATATTTTATATCCCAATATATAGAAAGAGAGGCAGCATGGTTTAGTGGGCAGAGTGCCAGTCTTGGGGTCTGAAAGAATGGCGTTAAAATACTGCCCAGACACATACTGGCTATCAAGTAACTATTCAATGCCCCAGGCAATTAAGACTAAGTTGCAAAGCACATGCCAATATGCATTGTAATTCCTTACCATGGAGTTCCCTACACTAATGAAATCACAAGTGTGGACTAAAAAAAATCTAGGAAAAAGTTATCCTTTTCATTGGAAAAAAAAAATCTAGGTATCACTTACCTTGTGGCTCCTGTGCAAATTATTTTTCCTGAGGACCAAATTGTAGCTGTAATTCTAGGTTTTCTAAGCTTCATTAATACTTTCTACAAAAGGAAATTTAAAGACAGTAAATGTTAATATTCAAAGGTAATTTCTCAAGTTAGAAGAAAACAGAAAAAAAATGTTTTTATACCTCTAGAGTAACTAATTGTAGTTTTAAACAATAAATGTCTATTTACTTCTATCTAAGTCTGTCTTAACTGCTGCAATGTCAAAATGAAACCAGGCAATAAACACAAACTACCATGTCAAGCCAAAAGGAAGATGACCCTAAGTTAAAATTTTATAATAATTATCTATATTTAGTTTATTTTAGTGTTATAATTCTTGTACCATGGATTCATCCCAATTAATTTGTAGTCATAATCTGAAAACAAAAGAATTTCACTAAAAGTGTCAAAGATTTATTCCAAAACTTAAATGCAAATTACCAATTTCCTTTTTCCCTCTTTTACTTTAATTTTTGACAGTCACATTTTAAAAGGTAGCGACTTAAATATGAATTATGTTATCTATGCAAACTTTCTATAGCTTAACAGAAGTTAAATCTTCCAAATATAATTTATAGGTCTAAAAACATAACACACTGTAAATTAAAATTGCTTATCCAAATATACTTTTTAAAGAATTATGAAGTACTCTCTTAGAAACAAATGAAATTTGACAGGACAGAATGTTAGTGTAGTTAATGAATTCCTTGACAAGACTGTAAATAGCAGTATGTGTCTCAGCTCAACACTCAAACCTTTCTTAATTTAAATTAGGTATTCCACATTTTAAATTTCACTTACTCCAACATCACGCTTGTAAATTACATTTGCTCCCTCTAAAGCAATCTTCCTTAAGTTCAAATGGCATCTGGTTCTAAAAACACAGACTACATTTGTAATTAAAATGTCCAATGCAACATCACTATCTGCATCCATTGGGGTAGTTTACAAACTCAGCTTCCCCACCAGTGCACCATGAAGCTCTCACATCCTGAAAAAGAGAACAAAACAATTACACACAGTCTAATGTAGCTCAGTTATCTGAAAGCAACATTTCTTTTCTTCATTGGAAAGAATCTTGGAAAATAAAATGCAAGGAAGACAATTTTATTATGTTAAATTTAAACTACAATTTAATAAGAAAAAATAATGTATATAGTTCTTTTGAAGAGTGCTTTGTGGTTTGATAACTATGTTTCATTTTTCATTTCATTTTTTATGAGAATATATACAAAGGGAGTCAGAACTAACAGATCAGTTTGGTATGTTCTAGTATTAAACTTACTTCCTCCAAAGAAATAAACGTTTACATTTTTATCGAAAAAGTAAATAAATATCAGCAACATTGAATAATTTTTTACAAAAGACTGGGTTGTGAAAGACTGAAAATGAAACATGCTAATCACTTCCTGACAGAGATACTAAATGACACACAGTTTTTTGGACATGGCCAATACAGGAACTTGTTTTGCTTGATTATACATATTTGTTATGGGTTTGGTTTTTTTGGGGAGTATGGTGGGGGTGAGGTTGTTCAGTTGGGAAGAGGGGAGAAAAGAAATGCTAATTAATTGAACAAAAGTAATTTAATTTTTTAAAATAATATAATTGGGTTACTCTCTACTTTTCTACATCTTTCATGAAGTTGGCCCAATTCTGGAAGAACACTCCTTAGATGAATTGTTTCTAAACTTTACTATAGTGATGCCCCTTAAAAAAATATAGTTGCTATGCCCACCCATGTATTGCACAAAATAATCAATGAAACTTTCTTAGTTCATATTGTATTCAAATAAAATTAAGGATTTATTAAAAATTTTATAACAAATCTGAGAAGTAAAAATAACAGTTAATACTTTTTACCTAATCACAGAAAAAAGATTAATAATTAGAAATTTCCATTTAAATATAACCATAAGAATAATTAAATACATTCCCAGGACTCAGTAGCACTAAAAATGCCAGCACAGAAAAACAAACGAAAATTATTCCTTTTATTTTTAGACTTTCACATAAAATCTTTTTTTTTTTTTTGTGAGGCAATTGGGGTTAAGTGATTTGCCCACAGTCATACAGCTAGTGAGTGTTATGTGTGTGAGGCCACATTTGAACTCAGGTCCTCCTGACTCCAAGGCTGGTGCTCTATCCACTGCACCACCGAGCTGTCCCAAATGTCATTTTTTTTTTTTTTTTTTAAGGCAACTGGGGTTAAGTGACTTGCCCGGGGTCACACAGCTAGTAAGTGCCAAGTGTTTGGTTTGAGGCCACATTTCAACTCAGAACCTCCTCACTTCAGGACTGGTGCTCTATCCACTGCGCCACCTAGCTGCCCCCTGAAATCTTAACAGAAATTTAGTCAAGCCTTCATGCCTGAGCACCCATTATGCTATTCTGCTTATTTTCGCTGGACCTTGCCAAATATCCCTTGGGAAGTAGTCTAGAGCTCAACAAATCACATATATCAAGTTGCTATGGAATCTAGTAGTTTCATCATGGCACCCAAGATTTCTGTACAAACCAACAAAACCAGAGAAATGCATTTCCTTCTTTTCACAAATTATTATGACTTGAAAAGAAGTCCTTTCATAACAGACAATACTATTTTCAGGGAGAATAGCAAGTATGTACTTATTAGAAGTTTCCTAGGTTTCAGTTATATTCATGCACTCAAGGGGAAGAAAGGGAAAAATTATGGATGGAGTAGGTTTTATTCCACATATGCCCAGAATATATTGCTCAGCTCCTCTATGACTTTTTTGGGAGAATTTCTGAGATCCTAAATAATCTTAAGTTTGAAGTAGAGCTTGGGAACCAATGCTTTCCACATCAATATACTATCTTTTTCCTGCCCATTTGAATTTCAAAATCAAATTCAGCAAACATTTATCAAGCACTTTCTATTCCAAGGCTACAACCCATTTACATCAATAGGCGCTGTGGACTACAGAAGATTATGCTTAATTGTCTCACTTATTCTGGTGAGTCGGTTGGAGGCTTCTTTCTCTAATTCTAGGTCTTTCCTATGTTTTAAAAAGACTCCTTTTTCAGGGGGATGTCTGGAGTTGGTGAAGTGGAAGTGGTAGAAAAAAAGATGGAAGAGTTGAAACAGGGGTGGCAGTGTAGGAATACGTGGGTAGCTTGAAGGTCTCCTTCAGTTTCTAGGTTATCTTAGCTTTCGGCACTGATATGGGAAAGGTGAAAGGAAGAAGGGGTGGTGGGCTCACAGAATTGTTGTAAGATGTAGAGGAGGCCCACAAAATTGCCGTAAGAAGTTAAGGGAGAGGACAGGGGGCTTTCAGTGGATTAAGCAGCATGGCATAGTGTGTAAATGGCCATCCTTAAACTCTGTCCTACTCCTCACACATGCTGGCTGTGTAACCACAGAAAAGTCATTTAACTTCCCAATGGCCCCAGGCAACTCTCTAAATACTTTAAGTTACAAAAGTATTGCCAATCTATATCACAGAGTTTACAGTTTACACACTACACTTTTCTCACAATGATGAAATCACATGATGAACTATAATAAAACAGCAAACATAATAAAAATAATATTATCTAAACTAATTTACTTATCCAGTGCCATACCAATCCAGCTACCAAAGGATTACTTTATCAAGACAGATGAAAATAACCAAATTCATCTGAAAAACTAGGTGAAGTAATTCAAGGGAAATAATGAAAAAAAGAGGGAAGGGAAAAGGCCTAGCAGTACCAGATTTCAAACTATACTACGAAGTAGTACTCAACAAAATAATTTGTTGCTGGTTAAAAAATAGGTAGAGGCTGACTAAATTAGGTACACAATATACAATAGCAAATGAACCCAATAGCCTTGTATTTGATAAACCTAAAGACCCCAATTACTGGCATAAGAACTCATTATTTGATAAAAACTGCTGGGAAAACTAGAAAGCAGTCTGGTGGGAACTAGGTAAAGACCAAGATCTCACAACATATACCAACGTAAGCTCCAAATGGGTACATGACTTAAACACGAAGGGTGACATCATAAACAAATTAAGAGGAGCAAGGAGAAAAATAACTTCATTATCTACGGATAGAGGAAAAATTCATGACCAAATAGAGAATAGAGAAGATCACAGAAGACAAAAATGACTAATTTTGATTATATAAAATTAAAGTTTTCGAACAAAGCCAATGCAGCTAAAATTTAGAAGGAAAACAGATAACTGAGGGGTGGGGGAAACCTATGTAGCAAGTTTTTCTAATAAAAGTTTCATTTCCAAGACATTTAAGGAAATGATTCAAATTTATAAGAATAACAGCCTAATGTCCAAAGTATTCTGCTAAGTGCTAGGGATCCAAAGAGAAAAGTAAAATAGTTCCTGGTTTCAGCTCTCAAGGAGCTCATATTCTAATGTGGGCAACAAAATATGGAAAGTTTCAGTGGTAAGTCAGATGGAAAGGTCTCATGATCTTTGAGATTCATTTCCAGCGATAAAATAGTATTTCTGATGTTAAACTATTTAACAGTAACAAGAACCTTCTTTTCTGGTCTTTAATAAATATGGCTATAACACCTGAAGGAACTCTTGTATCACCACAGAGGCTACTTCTCAGGATGATGGCTGTGTGTTGAAAGCATTGCTATTCCAAAGGCTTATGTTCAGGGTCCTGGGCTATGTTCACTGTGGTCCAAGGGGAGATGGTGGTCAACGGGGTGGTAGTGGTTTGACTTATATGGCACATGCTGCTTCATTCTTCCTTAGAGTCCCTTGCTGTTTCAGAAGGATGGCTTGTCTGCCTGGGGCGGGGAGTGGGCAGTTGGCTGAAAGTTTGCAGAGTGACTGGCCCCTTTTCCACAGGAGCTGTTTTCCCAGAAAACTGCTTCAAAGGCTGGGCTAGAAACAGGAACAGAAGTCTCAGGATGCTGCCACTCCCAGTGCAGCCCTCGTGCTTATCTATCTATTGGTAGCAGCAGGTCAGACATTATTATAGTGATTAGGAAGGTAGAACTCTTCTCCACAATGATTCCTCCCTTCAACTATGGCTGCAGGAGCTAAGCTGGAAGCAGATCTGGTGGTCTGAGGGATACTCTCACTCCCAAGGCTCTTGGGTTCAGAGTCCCGAGCTGTTCTTCATCCAAGTCTTAGAGGTAATGGTAGTCAAAGTGGTGGCAGTGGATTGAGTTGCCTGACATTTGCTGCCTCCTGTCTCTGCTTTCCCACCCTTTGAATGGCAGTTTGTGGGGATGGCTGGCTCCTCCTCCACATGAGCTATTTCCCTGAATGAAGGCTATGAGCTCTGGACTGGAAGGACTGAGGGTCTCAGGGGTGGTGACACTCCCAGTAGGGTTCTTATTTGGGTCAAAGCATATGAATACGCAATTTTTAAAGGAAGAAATCCAAACTATTAATACCCATCTAGAAAAATGCTTCAAGCCACTAATAATTAGAGAAATGCAAATCAAAGCAACTCTGAGGTTCTACTATACATCCAATAGACTGGCAAAATTGATCAAAAGGGGAAAAAAATGACAAATGCTGAAGGGGCTATAAGGAAAATAAATATATTAATGCACTGTTGGTAAAACAGTAAACTGGTCCAATCATTCTGGAAATCAATTTGGAACACTGAAACTGCTAAACTGTGCATATCCTTTGACCCAGTGACACCACTACCATAGTGGTCTATACCTCCAAAGAGATGAAAGAAGAAGGAACTGGACCAATATGTGTGTGTGTGTGTGGGAGGGGGGGGAACCAACAACCAAAACCAAACAATAGTATTACATAGCCCTTTAAGGTTTGCAAAAGTGCTTTACAAATATTATCTCATTTAATCCTCACAAAATCTTTTGGAAGTAGGTGCTACTATTAATCCCATTTTACAGCTGAGGAAACTGAGGCAAACAGGATGTTAAATGACTTACCCAGAGTCACATGGTTACTAAGTGTCTAAGGCTATTTATGAACTCAAGTCTTCCTGACTCCACGCCCAGCACTTTAATTCGATGTATCACCTGTC